CAGCCATAATTATTAGAATAGATAAAGGTTCAAAAATTGGTAAACCAGTAGTTGTACTTGCAATTAAAAATACGAATATCTTAGTTAATTATTTAATACCTTACTTAGAGAACATGCCGTTTATGACTAAAAAAGGTAAAGATTTTTATGATTTTAAAATTTTAAGTACTGCCATATATAATGGTATTCATAGGAGAGAGGAAATAAAATCGTTAATGTTAGAATTATCGTATTCTATGAACAAATACAGATTAACTACAAACACAGACTTAAATAAAACTATTGGTTTATCTAATGAAAACCTAGATAAAATAATAAAAGCAAAACCTACTATTAGACATCTGGAGGATGGTCGCCAATTAGATATGGTAACTGGTAAAGCGGTTAATAGACGTTGAACTAATTGTATTTATGAAATAGTGAAACATTCAGGAGAAATAGTATGAGCGTCTACTTTAAACGACGCAGCGGATATTTTAGGTGTAGAATTTAGAACGGTAACAAAACATCTACAATCGGAAGAATTAATGGGACATTACGCCGAAATTAAGGGGCATAGGGTTAGAAGAATTTCTGTGTTCAATCCTTAGTTATACGCTCCTATGTAAGCGAAATTACATAGGGTCCTTATATCAAGTTCTTATTAGGTTATTTTTATTAAACGAGAGATAGTACTAGCAATAAATGGTAAGGTGTGATTACTCATAAAAACCCTTCATTGTATAACGGTTACCCCTCCCTGTTGGGGGTATGATGATAAGCCTTTGGCTACTTGCGTAGCAAAGCTATAAAAAATCCAAAAGAATTAAAAGCATAGGAACTAAAAGAAGGTCCAATCCGCATAGTTCCATCCTTATATGAAATTAGGTGAAAACGGTCAATAATATCCTAATTAAAGACCGTCGGCAGATGGGAATGTCGCTACAGACTGGGTCACCTGGGCTAAGTTGTAATACTTGTTCTAATGTACAGTCGGGTTCTAAAACGAGTGTGATATCGTTAGGAGGAAGGATAATACTTGAAGCTACACACAGCAGTATAATCACAAATACGGTGATAGTAACTCCTGGATAAGATAGTGTTGACTAGACGCTAGCTTAACCTTAATTAGAATTGATCAATCCTATTTTTATTTATATTAATGTTAATAAATGTTAGAATATCTGAACTATTAACAGATAGTATTAATAGTATACCTTTAGCTATATTAGTAGGTAGTTTCTTTAATTACTTTGTTAATAATGTTTTACCATATATGGTAATGACTAATAATTTACTATACCATTTTAGCATTAAAAAAAATTTAACTAATGTTACATCTGTGTCATGAGATGGATATTTAGCAGAAACTTCTCATATAACAAGTATAGGAAATATACTGTATGGTAATTATTCTATATGATTAATAATTACATCCATTATATTATTACTAGCGATGGTTGGGGCAATAGTTATTACTCTAAAGCCACAAACTAATGTAAAATAAAAAAAATTAAAAATGATATTACGTCTTTCCTGTCTTTTTTCTTCCCTCAGCGCTTAAAAAAAAA